ATACCTTTCAATTGCTAGTGACTTGAACTAAGAGCGTCAAGATTTTAGGCTTTATTTTTCTGATAGACAATTAAATTCACCCACTTATATTTAGTTGATTGATACAATTAAAATAAGACTTAAAACTGCCTTACCAGAAGCCCACAGTTTTACCTGTAGTTTGTGTTTTAAACAAGTAATTCACCTTCACTTTGCATATTTTCATAAACATTTTAATAATTGCATAATCTTTCACATAAGAGCTAAACATATTTTGTTTCTATCTCAAAATGTTCCTTTTCCAATTCATAACATTGAATCAAACATAATTTTGGAAAACCATGACAAATGAATAAATAAAATCTAAAATTATTATTATCTGTTGTTTACCCAGTTTCTATATATACCAGTATTTTCAGATTAATAAAGATTTCTCTTTTTCTTTCAGGAAAGAGTTTGAATCTAGGCTGGTTTCATGGTAACAGACTATTTTATCCTTAGGTTTAGGTCATTTGCCCAGTTCTTTTTATTGAATTTTAAAGTGACTTCAAGCAGAAAGAGCCATTAACCAAACACTGTTATTTATCTAAGCCAAAAGCAATTATAAATGACCAGGCTTTTCTATTGTTTCTGAAACTATCACTGGGGAAAAAATATCTGAAAATGGGGGACTCTGACAGGACTCAAAATTCTGACAAACAACTTGCAGCGCTCTAACATCCAGTTTATCTGTGTGTGTTGTTATTATTATTATTGTGTGTGTGTTGTGTGTATACTTGAACAACTTCAAAGGTGTAAAAACACAAACTACTTTCAATATCTAAGCTCCATAGTAGACATAGTTAACTTTGTTTTTTTATCCTATGAGGGATAAATTCCATGTAAAACATTTTTTTAAATGGTCCCTTATTTGTAAGGGACTTACATATAAATTGAAAAAGAAAAAGCAACACTGCATTATATTTTGATAATCTGGGTATAGTAATTGTAAAGAATATGTTGCTTCTAAGCCTCGCTTCTCAATCTCTTTTGTTGTACATCTATTTCTTTTTTCCTTTTCCTCTTTTTCTGTACTCCCATCTACGTTGCTTTTTTTCCCTTTTGCAATTTGTTTTACTTTCCTCCCCTTCATAGTTTCCATTTCTAAGAAGAAAGAATTTCAGCATTGCCCCTAGCTAACTTCTTAGTGACCAAACCATAAAAGTGCTCATTCTTTATTGAATTTAAGGCTTTCATACATGTCCCATAAATACTTCAAGGCAGTGGTAGTTTGGAACAGACCTTACTGTTAACTGTAATTCTCAATCTGACTTGCCATTGCTAGAATTGCTAGAGTGTACTTGGCATTATGTTCTTTGATAGGCCAGTGCTATGCATGATATTCTTAAGAATAAAAGGCAAGT